CTATCTACGTGTTTCTTGCCCCGCTCCAATTCCTACAAATGGCTGCCTTTACTACGAGTGTCTTTAGGAGGATAGGCCTGGTGACGACTCTTTTCTAGGTCTTGGAAACAAGGGTCTAAATAGAGGGAATTCTGGAGCTTCAGGTAAAAGGAGTGTGGTCTAGAAAAAGTGTCGGTTTGTCCCCAAGTTTCCACAGATTCCTGTTCTGTGGAGAAGACTGTATGTAGCTGGAGGAGGCCAGAGTAAGACTCTCAGAGGCATATGGTTCAGGAGAAGATCTGTGACTGCCCAAGCCTAATCATAGTACTGATCACTATAGAGAAACAAATCCGAAAAGGTAAAGAGAGCCAGTAAGTGGAGGAACTGGGAATTGAACTCAGGTGTGTCAGCCTCCAAGGCCTAAACTAATTGCCTCTGGATGTAACAATGGCTTGTTTTAGATGTTACCTTTCTAGGTGTGCCAATCTTATATCTTCCCTAAATTATATACTTCTCAATGTCATGCTTTTCTTTTAATTTATTAAAGGCCTAGCATCCTACTAGCCTGCAGTGCCCCTACCAACCTGAGTATCTTTGTCTTTAACCAGAGCTCTGGTAAGTTGTAGTGGACTCTTCAATTAACTGATTGCTGCCAGGTTGAAAAAATAGGCATTACCTGACTATAAAAGGCTCTGTAATCCCTTATTCACTTATTTAGGTCCAGACCTCTAAGACAGTGGTAATGGATACCTGTCAAAGGGACATTGAAGATGTTCACATTTTCTTTCCTTAAAGGAATTTCCTAGAAAACAACTATTTTTTTTCTGATGTGTTTTCCTTATAATGTCCACATATATATAAGACAATTATACACAACTGATGGAGTGATGACTACTACTTACTAAGCCTTTGCTCTATGCTGACTTCTTTACAGGAGGTAGCTCATTTAATCCTCATAAGATCATGCAAGAGGGAAAACTGAGGCTCAGGGAGATAAGTAACTTGCTCAAGGTCACCCAGCTGTTAGGTGGAAGCCAGGAACCGAGTCTGTGGAGCTCAGTGCCTACATTGGTAACCACTGAGATACCACACCTTGAAACCTGGTAGAGTCTTCAATTATCAGAGCTGGAAGGAAACATGGAACTCATCTTGTCCAGACCCTTCATTTTATAGAGAGGGAAACTTGTGGTATGAGTATGCTTTGTGAGAGCAAATGCGGGTTTCCTAAGCCTTTCAGTTCACCAGATTAAAACAAAACCAAAACCTAAATTAACAAAATTATTTTCAGTTGGATATGTCACCTGGTTTTTCATTTTTGGTTAAAACAGAGTTCATATGTCATTAGTCACCCAACTAGAGGACAACATATGATGATTTAGCCAGGCCAGCAACAAAACCTTAAATCTTCTGCATGTTTGAAATTAATAAGAGCCACAACGTTTTGATAATATGTGTATCTATGTATTTATTATTTATCCTGTAAGTTCCTTCCATGAGAAGGAATCTTATTTTAGAAGAGTCTTCATTACTTAAGGTTCTGTACAGAATATTATTTTTTTTAAAGATTCTTTCCTTCCTTCCTCCGCCCTTTCTCCTTCTCTTCTCTTCTCTTCTCTTCTCTTCTCTTCCCTTCCCTTCCCTCTCCTCTCCTCTCTCCTCTCCTCTCCTCTCCTCTCCTCTCCTCTCCTCTCTCCTCTCCTCTCCTCTCCTCTCATTTCTTTCTGTAATCTCTATACCCAATCTGGGGCTCCAACTCACAACCTTGAGATCAAGAGTTGCATGCCCTACTGACAGCCAGTCACCCCAGAGCATTAGTTTTTAAGTGATCTTTATTAGGCTATAATTCACATACTCTGCAGTTGGTTCATTTAAAGTATATAATTAATGTTTTCAATACGTTCATAGATGTGTACAACCATTGCTACAGTCAATTTAAGAACATGTTTGTCACTACAGTGAGAAATCGTGTGCTTTTTAGTTTCATCCCCTTATCTACCCATTCCTCCCAGCCCTAAGCAACCACTAATCAATTTACTGCTCTGTAGATTTGCCCATTCTGGATATTTCATATCAATGGAATCCTATAATATACATACTTTTGTGACTGGCTTCTTTCACTTTGCATAATGTTTTCAAGATTCATCCATGTTATAGCACGTATCAGTATTTCATTCCTTTTTATGGCCAAATAGTATTCCATAATATGGATATATCACATTTTATTGCTCTCTTCATCCATTTATAGACTTCGGGGTTGTTTTCGCCTTCCGGCTATTGTGAATAGTACTGCTATAAACACTCATGTATAAGTTTGTGTTTGAACACTGCTTTCAATTCTTTTGACTATATATCTAGAAGTAGAATCGCTGAATCATATGATAACTCTATGTTTAACTAAGGAATGCCAAACTATTTTCCATAGCAGCTGCACCATTTTACATTCCCACCAGCAATTTATGAGAGTTCCAATCTCTCTACATCTTTACCAATATTTCTTACTTTCTAGGGCTTCTTCCCCCAAATATCCTAGTGGCTACTAAGTGGTAGCCCATTGTGGTTTTAATTTGAATTTCCCTAAGAACTAATGATGTTGAACATCTTTTAATTTGTTTATTGGCCGTTTATATATCTTCTTTAGAAAGATATATATTCAAGTCTTTTGCCCACCTTTTAATAATGTTGCTTGTCTTTGTGTTATTGAGTTGTAAGATACATACAACATCTGTTGTTTCCCGAGTTACTAATTGTAGTCATTCTGACAAGTGTGAGGTGGTATCTTATTGAGGTTTTGATTTGTATTTCCCAGATGGTGAGTGACATTGAGCATTTTTTCATGTGTCTATTAGCCATTTGTATGTCTTCTTTGGAGAAAAGTCTGTTTACGTCTTCTGCTCATTTCTTAACTGGGTTATTTATTTTTTGGGTGTTGAGTTTAAGCTTTTTATAGATTTTGGGTACTAGCCCTTTATCTAATATGTCATTTGCAAACATCCTCTCCCATTCCATAGGTTGTCTTTTAGTTTTATTGATTGTTTCCTTTGCTGTGCAGAAGCTTTTTATCTTGAGGAGGTCCCAATAGTTCACTTTTGCTTTTGTTTCCCTCGCCTCCAGAGATGTGTCTAGTAAGAAGTTACTACGTTCACTTTCTTGATAGTGTCCTTTGATTCACAAAATATTTTAATTTTAAGTCCAATCTATTTTATTGTTGTTTGTGATTTCATGTTTAAGAAATCATTGCCTAATTCAAGATCATAAAGATACTTGTGTTTTCTTCCAAGTTTTTGAGTTTTTACACTTAAGTCTTTGATTTTTTCATGTTAATTTTTATAAAGGGTATGAAATAGGGGGATAACTTCATCCTTTTCACGTGGTTGTCCTGTAGTTTCAGTATCATTTATTGAGAAGCTATTTATTCCCCAGTGAATCGTCTTAACATCCTCGTCACAAATCAGTTGACACATGGGTTAATTTCTGGACTCTCGAGTCTATTTCATCCATCTCTGTGTCTACCTGATGTCAGGACCTCACTGTCTTGATTATGTTGTTTTGTGGTAAGTTCTGAAATTGAGAAATACTCCTACTTTGTTCTTCTTTCTCAAGATTGTTTTGGCTATTCTGGGTTTCTTGCAAGTCCATGTGAATTTTTAAAATCAGTTTTGACAAAGAAGTTAACTGGGACAGGGCACTGTTTTTGCTCATATAAATTTGGAAAGAGAATTAGCATTCTGGGAGAGCAACTTTACTATAGTGGAAAGAAATTCCAGAGGTACACAGCCGAGTAAATATTAATACTTAACTCTGTGTAATTTAGTCTTTTTAAAAAATTTAAATTCAATCAATTAACATATAGTGTATTATTAGTTTCAGAGGTAGAGTTCAGTGATTCATGTACTCCTTACATGATGTGTGTAAATGAGTCTTTTTAAAAAAATATTTTATTCATTTAATAGAGAGAAAGAGTGAGAGAGAGAGCATGAATATGGGGGAGAACAAAGGGAGAGGAAGAAGCAGACTCCCCACTGAGCAGGGAGCACGATATGGGGCTCAATCCCAGGACCCCAGGATCATGATCTAAGCTGAAGGCAGACACTTAATCACCTGAGTTACCCTGGCGCCCTGTAATTGAGTCTTGACAGAAATTCATATTGGAGTCCAAAATAAAGATGACCGTATTGTACTCTTGAATTTGAGCAGACACTGGGGATACAGGAATTTTCTACATTTACATTTGTGTAATAATGTAAAATAACAAAATGTGTTCACAGTCTTTCCTTATCTTTTCATCATAATTATCCTGGGATTTAGTGAAGCAGGAATTTCTTATCCACCTATAGTCTTGAATAAGGTAATTTAGGCACAGAGAGGATAAGAAATGACTTGATCAAAGAAGTAATCAGTAAGTAGAGGAACAAAACACCCCAGTTTACCTAAGACTGAGGGGCTTTCCAGGACATAGGACGTTCCGTGCTGAAACCGGGAAAGTCCCTAAAATACTAATACTAAAAGTAAGGTGCCAACTCAGGCCCTTTAACGCTTACTTTAAAACTTCTCTTACCAGCTGAACTCATCAAGCACGCTTGACCTTCTCTACCTTGGGAATTCTGCTTAAAACGTCTCTCTTCACTCAGCTTTTCTTGACTAATCTGAGACTTAAGCTGCTCTAACCTCTCCGCAAATCCTTGACTTTGGCGTCCCAGCCTCAACTCATTCTATGTTTTCTCCTTTATATGGGGTCTAATAGTTTTTCCTTCCATTTGCCTTTCTTCTCTTTCTCAGATTATGGGTTGTAGAGGCAGACTCCTCATGACATGAGTGGGGGCTTAAGGAATACTGTTGTCTGACCAACAGGAAGTAAGTAGACATTCAAAACACGTGACCTTCAGGGTCATGTAAGTTGCCAGGGGTCACCAATTATTACAAGCCAGTGATTATTTAAAGATAAACAAGAGTCACTTAGTGCCAAGAACACAATTTGTATATTTATTGCATTTTTGTGTGAATCATAACAAGAAACACACAGCCTAGTACAAATCAATGACCCGTCTCAGAGAGCCCACTCGGGCATCCATGGCCCCCCAGTCGTGGTAGTGCCTGTAGTCCCCCGGTCTCAGGAGGTACTGCAGTCCCTGGTAGTTGGGCATCTCGTAGAGGACCCAGCAGCCCTCCAGCACGTGGAGGGAGTGGAGCTCATTGAGCCGGAAGCGATCATGGATGCTGGAGCAGTCTTCCGTGAGTTCAGACACCAGACCCCCGTAGTCATCTCTCTCGTACAGCCTTATCCTGTGGGAACTGGTCTGTTGTGACAGTAAACAAAAGAAGAAAAATCAATTCTATGGATCTCTGATCTCAGTAAAAGTGACTTAGTAACCTGCATCTTCGGGAAGCATGGTTTTCAAACCATCCTGCTGTATGCGTGTCTTCTCCGCACATGGTTGGTCTAACAAATTAGGAAGAGTGTTAAAATAAAACTGACTTGATCTTGTGGAAGAAACAACCACTGAAATAAAGGGAACAGAAGGGATTGCTTTGTAGGAAGCCACTGGTCACGGTATTTAGTGAGTCGGCAGAGAGGATTTTAACTGTCTTTTCCATTATGACGGCACATAACCGAGTCCTAACAAGCTTGTTTTTAAGTCACTCTTCGCACTTATTTACAATTCCTATTTACTCTGTGTCCACATATCTGACATTTTGCCAAGTCACTTGAACCATTCGAAGTTCTTGCCTCAAAGAAATTCCCATTTTATTTGTATGTCCTTTTGCACCTGCAAATTTCTGTAGCCTACTTTTGGTCTCACTTCTTGAATCTGCTTGTCATACCACATAATTTGGTGTCACCAGTAACCAGAAACACAAACTAAACATGTTTAAAAAACCTTAAGCAACACTTTGATGAGGACCGTGTCCCATGAAGTCCTAATTAATGCTCTGTCTTTGACCCTCGTGAGAAAGTAGTTGATAATGACTCCTGGGAACCAGGGAGCCCCCTAGGAGCTGAGACATACTGTTCTAGTTTCTAGATCCTTATGTCATACAGACTGTGTGGAAGGCAATTGCTAATACAGTCAGAACACATTACACCTAAGTTGTTTTGCCGTGGTCTGTTAAGTGTTCCTATCATTAAAAACTAATGACCTAGATAGGTTTTATTTTTTTTTCTTTTCCAAACATGGTGATTTTTATTTAGAAAGTAGGAATCAGCTAGATGCTACCAAATTTAACTTCAGAGGCTATGTCATGATTTCTTACGCACTGAAAACAATCTTAAGTCCTTAAGTAAGGGAGGAAAAAGAGGTTACAGTGATTCTTCATAAGCCTGCTCACTTTTTTTTTTCTAAATGCTTGAGAGTCAGGAATTGCCATCCTTACTGTGAACACTAGTCTTGAGTTGAAACAGACTGACTTAGGGTCACGGATCAGTGATGCTTTCCCATCAGTCTGGGTGGAAGCAAGACTCACGTAAGGAATGGCCCGGCAGGAGCGGATGGAGTCGCTGAGGCCCAGCCACTGCTGGTAGTCGGGTAGTCCCCGCGCCGCAGGAAGTACTGGTGGCCCTGGTAGTTGGGGCGCTCATAGAGCATCCAGCAGCCGCTGTCCACGCGGATGGAGTTGCAGCGGCTGAAGTAGGGCTGCAGGTTGGGGCAGTCGCTGCTGCACTCGTAGCAGCGGCCCTGGAAGCCGCGGTCCTCGTAGAAGGTGATCTGCGGGGGGTGGGGGGGGGTGGGAAACAAGGGAGGGCCAGGAGTCAGCGGGGAAGGCCCCCCAAGCACAGGAGACACTCAACAGATGCGGCACGACCCCTCTGGAGGCTCACCTTCCCCATTGTGGTTGGCAGCGGATGAACAGCGTCCGGTGTGATGGGGACAAGAGCGGCAGCGGGGATATATAGCAGGAGGTTGCTGCGTTGGCAAGAACAACACAAAAGGGGCCTGGGGGTAGTGCGTGAGGGCATTTCTATGTTCTCCCTCTTTTTTTCATTTGGGATCATGGGGCTGGGGGCTCTCATTCTCTCTGGCATTTTCGAGTTCTCCTCACTAGCTCCAGTGAAAGGAATTGAGGTCAGCAGAGCCATTATGACCTTGGAGACAAAGGGCGCACTTCTCATCCTATGCAGCACTCTAGAAATGCATTACGTGCCCAGCATTTTGTGTGTTTGCCTATGGAAACTGCTGAGATGGGGTTGGTGGTTCCGTCTGGGGTGACTCGTGACAATCCTATGAGTCCCAGAAGGACGTGATGAAAAATCCTCTAATCGAAAGACAATTACATTTTCTAAATTACCTCCTCAGTGTGATATGGTTTTGCTACAAGGATTTCGTATATGTTTATATAGGGGGAAAAGAAAAGATTAGAACGTTGGATGTATACACCAAAATGTCAGTCACGGTTATCCATAAATGGCAGGATTATAGGTCCTTGTTTTATGTTTTTATTTCTCCTTTTTGTCGTTTTTGATTGCCTTAATTTTCGACCATAAATATATAGTACTTTCATGAGATGAAAAATAAACTCAATTTGTAAATGCAAAACTCTGAGTTCCTGGTGAAAAGCAATACATTTTGAAAATGAGTCTATTTCGTTTTGAGATTAAAAGCTTCTCCTTGGACTAAAAATAAAGAGATTTCCCGAGACTCAGTGAGACTATAAATCACATACAGGATCCTCTCATTCCTCCCTCTCCCACCAGCTGTCTCCTGGGGCTGCTATTTTTTTTTTTTTTTAAGATTTTATTTATTTATTTATTTGACAGAGAGAGATCACAAGTAGGCAGAGAGAGAGGAGGAAGCAGGCTCCCTGCCAAGCAGAGAGCCCGATGCGGGACTCGATCCCAGGACCCTGAGATCATGACCTGAGCCGAAGGCAGAGGCTTAACCCACTGAACCACCCAGGCACCCTAGGGCTGCTTTTTGTTTTCAAAACCAGCATCATGATTTGCCTGAGTTTTCCCTTCCTGGAGTGTCACTGTTTCACAGAGCCCAAGTGACGGCCTGAGGAGCTTTCTCCACTGAGGCTATCCTACTGATTTCCAAGCATTCCTCAGCTACGCAGGGCTGCGGGAGGCCTTCAGTCCCCAGCTTATCTTTGTCATCCAAGTGTACATAGGAGGATGGAGTCAAACACCATCATAGTTTGTGACCCAAAGATGGCCCTGAAAGGGTACCCAGCCACAGCTATCACTAAGTGTTCATGATGCCATTTGTGAAAGTCGTTGGGCAGCATATGAAGCAGGTGTACAGCTGTCAAAAGGACAGACAGTAGCAGCCACAAAGAAAAAAATGTTCCCTCCCAATTAGCAGAGCTAGAGCACAGGAAACTGGGCAAAGTCCTATGCTGCTAGACAGCATACCCAGGGTCAAGTCACAAGTCACTGATACATCCCCTTCCTCCCTCCTAGTGCTGCAGGCCTCCCGGTAAACCTCAGTTATGGTCATAACCAAACCCATGCGGAAAAGGCGTCATCGGTCTCCCCAACCACAACGCCACATCAGGGTGCACCACCATTTCCAGCGAAAGCCAACAAGCCAAACACTTGATTTTGCACGTGTTGAAGACAACTGTTCTGCAGACAGGTGGCCCAGTGAAACCTTGAGAGAGGCATCATCTGTACTCACATTCATTTGGTCGAATTGTTGCTGTGTATATTTACAGCCAAACCATCTGCCTAATCAGCATTTTGGAAAGTGCTGAAAGACTAGCACATTTTCATTTTCCTAAGAGTCCTTATATTTCCTGAAAGAAAGCCTGCGCTCATGTTTCCTTTAATGCTTTATTGAAATGATTTTAAATGTTTCCATGTGAGAACGTAGGAAGGGCAATGGATGACAGATTCATTTTATTTCAGATCGAAACTTCGGGAAACTACCTCCAAGTCCCCCACTCTGCAGTATTCAGTGCTAAACATTTGTGAAATGTGCTGCAGAGCCAGTCTGCTCTGACACAGAAATACTACATAGTCTCAAAATTCTCCAACCAGCAGTCTTCCGGTTACAATGAAGCAGCATAGGATATACACTTAACAACAACAACAACACAATATAGCCACACAATGGGATTCTAAGAGAAGAAAGCCCAACATCCAAAGTAACACTTCAATAAGTTTTGTACCACAAGCTGACTATGAAGAAAAATGTGCTGGCAAGAGTTGCAGTGTTAGGATGTTTCTTTTCCTCTCCCAGAGGCTTTATTATGAACTTCCATGGTGCAGTTCCAAGTTTCTAAGTGACCTGCAGGACAAAACAAACAAACAAACAAACAATCAAACAAATAAACAAAACAAAACATTTTGGTATCAAGCCCGTCAATTTAACATGCACACAGACATTAACTTTCATTCTACAGAGAATTGAGTCAAATATCAAATACTAAATTACTGGCAAAGGTGGATTAAAATACGTGTAGGTACAAAAGAACTTCAATGGAATTGTTCTGAGAGGTTTGGAAATTGAGTTGCATTTCTCAACTATATACAGTATATGATCTCACACTGCATCCTCTACAGAAAGAAAAAATGTTTAACAAAGGACATTATTGGGTCAATTGGAAAAATTGGTACATAGATGGTAGTTCGAATAAAATTATCAGTGTTCGATTTTCTGAAGTTGATCATTATATTAAGGTTATTTAAAGAATGACTTTGTCTCTGGAAATACACACTGAAGTATACAGGGGTATAGTGATAGGGAGGATGTAATTTGGATGGCTCAGAAAAAAAAATTGTATCTATATACAGAAAGACAGAAAGAGGGACAGAGGCAGAAAAAATGGTGATGCTAATGGAGCAAAACGCTAACAATTGGTGATTCTGAGTAAAAGGTGTACTAGGGCTCTTTGCTATTCTTGCAACTTTCCTCCAAACTCAAAATTATTTCCAAATAGAAAAGCAAATAATAAAAGTTATACTTTTTTTTGACTAACCATATCCACAGCTAATCATTTCTTTTTGCCCCTGAGCAGTTGTGTATTGTGCTTATGCCATATTAGTTTGAAATGTTATATATTGCTTTGAATTTAAACTTGCATCGCCCTCCTTCCATTTCTGATAGAGGGGTGCTGAACTCTTCAGCTATGATAGTGGAACCAGTCCTTGCAGTCCTAACCATTTTTACCTCATGTAATTTGATGTTCTGTTGTCCAGTACACACATGTTAAAGTTTGTATGTCTTCTTGGAGAATTGACCCCTTTATCAATTGTCTTTCTTTATCCCTGATCATTTTTCTTGCTTTGAAGTCAGCTCTGTCAGAAATTAGTAAACCTTTTCCTTGCTTTTGATTTGGGCTGGTGTGAATCAAAATTTATCTATCCATTTACCTTTAATCCATATGTGTCTTTAAATTTGAAGTAGGTGCCTTATAGATGACATATAATCAGGTCTTGTGTTTTGATCCACTCTGAGAATTCCTTTCTTCTTTTCTTCTTCATAATTTTATTATGAAAATTTTCATATAGAAATGTTGAAATATTTGTACAATGAAGGTACATGTGCCCACCACCTGGATTCTGTAGTTACAGTTTGGATTTCTTTCTCTCTGCTTACATTGTCCATCTAGTCTTGCATACTACTTTATCCATTAGCACTCTTAACACTCTTAGTGTAATAAATCAGATTTGTTTCAAATTCCTGGTCTGATAGTGCCAACATCCTTGTCCTGTCTGTTTGCAATGCTTGCTCTTCTCTTTAAATTATGTTTTACGCATTTTAGTATGCCTTGTAATTCTTTCTTGATAGCTAGACATAATGTCCTGGGTAAAATGAACTCTCTAAATAGGTCTTTAGTGATGTGATGGGGGGCTGGTGAGGGAGAAGGGGAAGGGTTCTGTAGTCCTATGATTAGATCTCAGTCTTTGGTGAGCCTGTGCCTCTGGACTTGGAAATTCACAAGTGTTTCTCAATTTTTCTTCTTCTTCAGCTGGGACCAGATTACTAGAGCTGACTGGAATGGGTATTTCCCTTCTTCTAGGTGGGTTGGGTTCCAATAAAATGTCAACAGGTTAGGCTATAGTTAACTAGTTGTCACTAAGGGCAGGCCTTTTAAGAACAGAATTCTCTGTTTTATTTAAAAATGATTCCTCCCCCCACCTTCCACTTCCACCCCTACCCTCACTGCTGGAAAAGTGAAAGGAATTTTCTCCAATATTTACTGTGAGGACCTGGCAGAGCTCCTGCAGGTAAATCTCACAAAATTGTGGGTATCCTGCTAGGACTGGGTCCCCCTGGAGTCTGGAGTATTTAACCCTCTGAGATGTCTGCACTGAGGTTCCTGTGATTTGCCAATTGCTGTTGGGGTTTCCTACTCCAGTACTGTATTCATAGTAGCTTCTGCTTGTGAGCCTTTGCTCTGGAAAACCCTAACTCCCTATATCTGCCTGTCTCTCCAACCTTGTGGGGGACAGGGGTTTGCCCTTTGACCCCTGTCTTACAGATCCAAGAGGAGTTGTTTTCTCACCCTGTTCAGCTTTTTACTTGCTAGGATGAGTGGCAGTTTCTAAATTCTTTGCCCATGGAACTGGAAACCAGAATCTCTCAAATTGCTCTCTCTCTCTGTGTCTTGTTCCAGTCCATGATACTGTGACTTGGTCAGGAGGGTAGTCAAGGGAGCACTTGTATTCTTTTTAGCCATGGGCCTAGTTCTTTTCTAAGCTGTTCCATATAGGTTAGCTCATTTGGTCCTTGTAACAACCTTATGAGATAGATACTGTTAGAATCCTTTCTTTATAGATGAGAAACGGAAGCAGAGAGATTCACGTAACAATTCATGACAGTTATTAAATGGGAGAACCAAGAGTTAACTCTGGGCTGTGTGACTCCCAAGTCTGCACTCTTTTTACCAGGGTATCTGTTTTCTAGCTCTTTGGTATGGCCCTGTCCATTTGGAATCCATTTCCTGGTACTGTGCCCAGTATCAACACTTTCCTGGGATATGGTGTTGCCCATATTCATTTTGACTAATAAATGGATTGTTAGTATCAATACAGTACAAAAGAAATCCTGAAAACTATTTCACTAAATGCCTGGATTATTAAAAAAAAATTCTCCCTTTCCTTTACTTGATGAAGTATTTCTGTGGCTGGAAATAAATAAAAAATTCTGAATGAGCCATTGTTTTATCTTGAGGTTGAAAAAGTTGTTTACCAGCTAAAGGATGTGATACAATATCCATAAAACATATGGGTAAGGAAAAGACTCAGAAGTTGAAATACATAAAATGAAAAACTTTTTCAAGCGATAAACTGTGAAAGTGTATTTTCCATACTTTCTTAAAAGGATTTATTTGGGTGGTTCAGTCGGGTAAGCATCTCCTTCAGTTCAGGTCATGATCTCAGGGTCCTGTGGTGGAACCCCCTGTGGAGCTCCCTGCTCGGTGGGGAGTCTGCTTCTCCCTCTCCCTTTGTTCCTCTGCCCCTCTACCCGCTTGTGCTTGTTCTTTCTTTCTCTCTAATAAATAAATAAAATCTTTACAAAATAAAAAGATATAAGATTTATTTATTTTAGAGAAAGAGCAAGTGTGAGTGTGCAAGTCGGGGGAGGGGCAGAGGAAGAGAATCTTCAAGCAGTCTCCCCACTGAGCATGGAGCCCAATATGGAGCTTGATCTCATGACCCATGAGATCACAACCTGAGCCTAAACCAAGAGTTGGATGCTTAACCAACTGAGCCACCCAAGCATCCCTTTTCCATACATTTAATAAAAATATTTTTCACTACTTTCTAACAAATCAGTAGGACACATGCACATATATTTATATGTACATGTATAGCAAATATTTGAAGATCCCAAGAGATATTTACAGTGATACAGGGTGTGGGAAAGGGGGAATTCTTTTGTTTTTCAGTTTATATTTCCTGTATTGTTTGAAATTTTTACCATAAACATGTATTATTATCATAATGTTTTAAGCTAATTTAAAAAAATACATGACTCAGAAGTTGGAAAAGATGCTAAAACACACAAATGATAAAGAATGAACAAAAATCATAGATGTGTTTTCTGCTGTTTGGTTTTCAAGAAGAGGACTTTATGGGAAGGGTTCATCTCAAGGCCTGTCCCTATTGCAAAATGGACATTTATTCTTCGGACAGCCTAGGCTTACAGGCATTGATTAGCCTATAGAAATGGCTGGTCCCTAGAAATGAACTTCTCAATCAGTTTAGACAGAGCCCAGTGCGTTGAGAGCCCTAAGGACCATGTAGTTACTGCCAATTCACTTACCTACCACAATAACTGAACAGCCACTGCTTGCAAAGCACTTTATATACACGCGGGAAATAATAAAGAAATAAAAGACCCGCTTCCGTCAAGAAGCCAACAATCTTCAATGGTTATGGGAGAAAATATACAGCAAATGGAATTATATTTTCAAAACAAACAGACCAATGAGTCATCTTGAGAGCTGGATTTTCAGTACGTGGGATGCACAGATGGGTATCCCCCCCCCTTTTTTTTTAAAGATTTTATATATTTATTTGACAGAGAAAGATAGAGATTACAAGTAGGCAGAGAGGCAGGCAGAGGGAGAGAGGGAAGCAAGCTCCCCGGTGAGAAGAGAACCTGATGAGGGACTCGATCCCAGGACCCTGAGATCATGACCTAAGCTGGAGGCCGAGGCTTAACCCACCAAGCCACTCAGGGGCCCTGACAATATTGTAAAGATTTTCTGATAGTGGTGTTGTTATGTTCCTAGAATAATATTTATTAAAACCCAAATGTGAAAAAAGAATTCAGATTGTTCCTAAAGCATTTGCTATGATAAGGTTACATTTCTCACCAGTTGACTGTTTGCCTCTAAAACCTGGATGAATCCTGGGCTTTACATGGTCCAGTCTACTCAGAGATTCACATTAAAAAAATGCACAGTACAGCAACCAAACTAGATAGTAACAAATTTTGATTTTCACTTGCGTTTAACTTTCACTTGTGTTTCTAAAAGCAAGAGCAATCCATAACCCAGTGTAGCAAGTTTCAAAATTCCCTTTTCCCTTTTCTACCTTACAACCCTGCAGCTGGTCCACAGCCTCTGATTCAACAAAGTCCTAAAATACCCCAGCTGGCCACCTGTACCACTAATCTGAGTCTCCCTCCTCTCAGCTTGTATTGTGTTCACTAACTTGGTCTCCTGACGTCTCTTTAACTTTCCTTTTCACTTTGCACATTAAAGTAGAGAGTCTAGGGCTGGAAGGGCCAAGAACTCTCCCGCCTTTCTCCTTTGTCTCCAGCCCTGGGTATCCCTAGCCATTCTCTGAATTCTGCGGCACAAATGTGCCAGGAATCAGATGGCCAGGGCGGCAGCAGCAGAGACACAAGCAGGCAAGGATGAAATTTCATTAGTGGGAAAGGGACTGCGAAGAGAAACCTTTAGGACACAGACATTCGTGTAAATCTCCTTGACACACTTACTTGAATCAAAGAATAAGACCTGATTAACTGATGCATAGAACATCTCAGAGGCTAAAAGATAATCATGGTTCGCATTTATTTAGGGTTTACTCTGCACCGAGCCCTCACCTAATCTCTTAAAAAGCATAATTCCCGGTATTTATCCTGACAACCTGGAGAAGAGGTACCTCTGTATTTCCCACTTTGTAGAGGAGGAAACTAAGGCACAGAGAAGTGACACAGTCTGCCTGAAGTCACACAGCTGGGACGCAGTGGCTTTATTTGGATTCAGACCCACAGTGTCGAACTCCAAAGGCTAGACTTTTAACCACAATATTAGTAAAGTATTCTCCAAACCCTTGGTATCAGTTTGGTCCAGTTTACATTTTTAGACCTACTTTGTTCCTTGGCTGGGTGTCCAACGGTACATTTTTTGATGATTTCCACGCTGTGGCATTCGCTTCCCTTGCAGAGTGGCTGGTGGCATTTTTATTTGTCGCTCCCCTTCTTAACTTGACACCTGGAGACACATGTGGTAACCGTGAGCATATAAAAAACCTTTTTTTAAATGAGCCCACCCACAGTTTTAGATTTTTCCCTTCTAGAGTGCCTTGCTCCCGTCACTAAAGGGTCTGAGAAGTAAGACGTCTCTGGTCCCTATATTGAAGGGAAATTAAGTCATGAATCCTTCTGGTTTGTTTTTCCTTTATTCTGGCCAGAGAAATATTATTGCCGTAACAACTTTGACCTTACTTTCTGAGTTTAATTCTTAGTTAAAGTTCCCTACGCAGGTGGAAGTAAAGAGGCTCACTCTGTTTGCGGGCGTATTCTGCTGCGTGGGGCGCTGTTAACATGGCAAAGGGATGCAGGGAGAGGCGGAGAGGTGGAGCTTGGGGAACCTGAAAGGAAAACAGTCCTATTTGTAACAGCTGCACATGCTCTGTGCTGTTAACTCCTCCTGCTACTTACAGCACTTGGTTGGTTGAACCAGCCCATGGTCCTTAACACCAAGCACCTGCCGGAAAGACACACGTTTCACACGGCGCACACGTTTGTATTTTGTCTTTTGCTCCCACTCTTGGTCCCCTTTGCCCAAAATGCCCTTTCACTCACTGTTGCTCTCCATAGTGTTGTCTTATACCTGGGATAACCATTTGCTCCTTTTCTGCCTAGAGGCGCCTACTTTTCCTTTGAGATGTAGCTCAAATACCACCTTTTCTGAGAAACCTGCCCCATGTCTCCCCACGCCTCCCTCCTGCTCTCCTATGCTGGTACCCCGCACCCCCACCTTACCTCAAGGCAGAATTACAGATTCACTCATCTGGGGACTCAAAGCATGCGCTCACATAGAGCAACTCCAGTGTGCTGTGGTTAGTTATAACCCACTGTCTGCCACACTGGAAATTTCTTCAAGGTTAGGACTGTCTCTTCATTCAAGCCTTCCTTCGACAAGTTCTCAGTGAGCACCTTCTATGGGCACCCCTGTGTCAGGAGCTGTGGTCACTCAGACAGACAAGGCTCCTGCCCTTCTGGAGCCGAGTGTGGAAACACAAACAATAAATCATGCATTTTGGTAAGTTTAATAAACAAAAGAAGATGGTGTGCTCGCAAGTGCCTGGATAGCCACCACGGCACACAGTCAGAGAAAGCCTCTAGAAAGAAGCAGTGCATCCACTGAGATTTCCGCTGAGCAGCCGCTGGTTAGGGGAAGAGCTGGAGATGAGTGCTCTAGGCAGAGGGAACGAGAAGGTCTTTTTGGAATAACCTGTGTTTCCAGACACAGAAAGGAAGCCAGGGTGGCTAGAGCAGAGCAAGAAAGGTGAAATTATAGATGGGCTGAGAGGGAGGGGGCGGCCGGATCATCTGAGCCCTTGTTGGCCATGGTACAGAGCTCTACGTTATTCTAGGACTCAGTGGAAGCCATTGCAATATTTTTAAGCCTAGTGTGACAAGGTCTGATTTAGGTTCTTAAAAGATCGCTCTGGCTGCTCTGTAGAGAATGGGTTGGAGTGTGGAAGTAAGGAGCTCAGTTAGCTAATTGAACCTTCTCTCTCCAGTGTATTAGAGAGTGCCTAGTACATAGGAGGGCCTCAGGTGTCATCGACTAGTTGAATGACTACCATCCTAGTCAAGCAATAGTGGTTAACAGCATAGACTTTAGTGTCAAACAGGCTGTATGTGAGCACAGGCTGCACCATCTATCTATCAGATGTGTGACCTTGGGCATGTCACCTAACTCCTCTGTGCCTGTTTCTTCATGTGATAATAATAATACTGGTAATGACCTTATAGGGTTGTAGTAGGAATTAAAGTTAGCATATGTAAAGTATTTGGAATAGTGGTTGGCATACAGTACAATATTTTAAAATTAATGATAATAATTATTTTTTGATAATAATAATTATTGATATTTGTCATCATCATCTTCATCCCTGCCTCACCTCTCTCTCTTGTGTAGAATGACCCGTGGAACAACTTGGGCACCATTTCCTTTACAGGATCCTGCTTGGAAATAACTAATCAGATAACTAATAACAAATGACTAATCAGAGCCAGGAGGCCTGAAGTAATTAGCATCCCTCTTCAAGATCAATCATTTTCTGTTTTCTCACTGAGAGAGATTCAAGCTTTATATTTACAGACACTCTGGTTCCTTATCTCCTGGGGAAGATAGAACCCGATGATTTCAAAAGTCACATCCAGCTCAAATATTCTGTGAGTCCTAATAATCTGATGGCTCATGCAAGAACTTCCTATAGCTTCCTGTGTGGTATATATGAGATATTATTCTCAAAATAGGATGAAAATAAAATCCTAAACCTAGAGTTGATCATACATTCTTTTTTTGCTTTAAAGCTACTTACTAATACCATCTTTGTGTCAATAGAGATTATTACAATTGTTATTTCTTGATTCATATTAAGTGCCAAATTATGTCCAAAGCCATTCAACAAAAATTTCTTCTAACTGGAGGTGGGAAGAGAGAGAGAAGAAGATGGCGATGTGTCATATAGGAACTTGCACAAGAAATGACCTGGGTACATCATTGAGGGATGAAGGTATAGATTTCTTTTTCCATTTGAGAGAGGATGAGTGGGGAGAGGGACAGAAGGAGAGGAAGAAGCAGACTCCTTGCTGAGCAAGGAGCCTGATTCAGGCGGGGCTTGATCCCAGGACCCTGGGATCATGACCTGAGCTGAAAGCAGATGCTTAACCAATGGAGGCCCCCAGGCACCCCAAGACTTGAAGAGCATAGCCAGTAATTTTTATCTGCCTTTCAGCCTGAGCAGTAACTTATTAAAATGTCATTTGGTATCACTGAGACAGAAGGTGGAGAATTTCAAATTTTCCACCAATGTCAAAGCAATTAAACATATGCTCATGACAATGCTATTTTCCAAAGCAAAAGCAGAGCATGTGGTCTGGAAAGATAGCTTGTACTGTCCAAGAAGTTTTTCAAATGTGGTTGGGATGGTGCCACATCATATTTTCTAAACATGTTAATGTTTGTGAAGAGAGAGGACAAATTTCAAATAGGAAGAGTACTGGCAAATCTAGGAGTTGATTGATTATATCCTGTAGCCGCTTTTTAAAAAATTGAGGCTCTGTGGAAATTAAAAAAAGAAGGAAAAGAAGAAGAAGAAGAAAAAGAGAAGAAAGAAAGAAAGACCGACAGACTCAACAACAACGAGAAAAATGGACAGAAGACTTTAGCAGGCACTTCACAGAAGAAAAACAGAGAAATAGTTTTGCATTGGTAATCAGAGGAATGTGATTAAGACTGTGGCCATCTAACAGACTGACGAACTTAAGAAGCCTGTAAATAGCAGGTGTTGGTAGCAGGCAGATAAGCTCATGGCAAGCGGAAGTGTACATTGGTGCGACCATTTTGGAAAACGGTTTGGCTTTATGTAGAATTGGAGATGATGCACATGTGTCTGATGGCACGGGCGTGGCATCTCTGATGTAATGATGGCGCAGTTTCACGCCTCGGCCACAGAGAAACTCTTTTTTACTGGACATGAAGAGACATACAACAGATATCATCCAGATGTCTAAAACAGAAGAATATATAAAGACATTGTGGTGTACTCTTACAGCGGAACACTACCTACAGTCCAAATAAACTATATTAACCACAAGGATGAATTTGTGCAATGTAGTGTTGAATGACAAAAGAAAGCCATGGAGTAAAACGTTTGCTTCATTTATAAAGATTGCCACTTATATTACTTGTCTCAAGTTCAAAGAACATGCAAAACTGAACAGTATGTTGGTGAGACATGCATATGTGGTAAAGCTAGAAAAAAAGACAAGGAAATGATAAACCCGTGACTGCGGATAGTATAAATGTGAGGCAGCAGGGAGGGGAGAGGTTGGAGAGGAGGCACGGAGAGGTCCCAGACTGTTGATACTGTTCCATTTCATCCCTTTGGTGGATTTGTTGTTTGCTTGGTTTTGTACTTTAAACATATATTTTAAGTGTTCGTTGGGACAGAATGGATTTCGAAAGCATGGTTTTCCATCTCCCATCATGAAGATCTGCCAATACTGAACTTTTGTTTTAACCTAATGGGTCCCTCTCCTTACCATGGAAATGCTTTCTCATTTCTCTACCCTTCAGGCTCAGCCAGCCTCCTCCAAGAAGAGAAGACACTTGGTAGCTTATTGTAGTAAGTGCCTGGAGACCAGGGCTATAGAAGGTGTGAGGGGGGACGATGGGCCTGCTTCAGCGAGACCCGGCTGCTGTCAGTGGACTCCTGTGGATGGGAGACAGGCGTGGGGGTGGGTTCGGAAATAATATCACTGAAGTTGAAGGCTCCTCGTCCTAGGCCAGCATCAGGCACCTGACACGTGGGGTCTCACTGAATGATCAGAAGGATCCAGTTTGCTAAGTGTAATCATGCGTATTTACACATAGGGAAATTGGGAACCAGACAAGTTAAATAACTTATCCAAGGCCACACAGCTAGCAAGTGGTGGAGCTGGGACCGGACATTAATCTGTCTGCCTCTGAAGAGGCTGCCTTGGAGTTGGGATGGAGTTAAATGATGGCCAGTCGGACTTTGGGGTGTGGCTCCAGCAGGAGAGAAGGAGTAGACGTTCTGATGGTCTCCAGCCACTTCCTTTGTCTTTCTCCTCTCTCAGTTACACTAGTTTTTACTCTCTCTGCTTCCCTTTCCCTTTTTCCTCTTTGACAAATGGAACTGAAGAATATTTTTATTGCTTGCTTGCTGTGTGGAGGGCAGATTTATGCTCTTTTTCTTCAGCTATTTTATATTTATCTGAAGCGAATTGTAAACACTGTCCATTGTGTGAGACCCTTGGTTGATTTTTTTTTTCTTTCTATAGGTCCAGGGTCCTGAGCAGAAAAACGGCTCATCAAATAATAGCTCCCTATCAGGAGTAGAACCTTTGAGTAATACAGTTAAAGAGCAACACTGGGCCCATGATGCCTTTCTGTCACCAGGTGGCAGCAAATACTCCCGTTGAAATCCATCAAGCCTATGCACAACCCGTATTATGTATTACATCGTGTAGCTAATTCTAGTGGCCAGAACTTCTCCATAATCTAATTAGTATTCTGCAGGGCTTTAAGCTGTTGCTTGGAGAGGATTTTAGCTGTTGCTTAGGAGACATTTTCTCCAAAGGAATCAAAGTTCATTCAGATATATGCAGCAATTAGAGAAGAATCTTAGTCAATAACGTCTTTTGAATAACCTCATCTTCTGGTTAAAACAGTTTTTTGAAATTATCTTAAACTTTGAAAGACTGTTTTAAAATAGTTCTTACAATTTAGTCTTTGAAAGGCTACATTTCCATTGAGAGTTTCTACTAATTTCTTGTCTAAGATGTGGAGGAGGTCCCTAAATTGAGCAGATGATTTGCCTCAATAGAAAGGCCTGGGCTGGCATTCTTGAAGACTCGTGAGGTCCACACGGTAGATGATGTTTAGGCTCTTCATTTGTAGCTCAAATGGTATAGTACCCTTTGTGATAATTCGGTGTCTAAAGGCAGAGCGTATATTATGTTGGTGATATATAAGGACACTTGATGAGCAATTTAATTATTTAAAGCAGTGGTTCTCAACCAGCTGTAATTTTGCTTCTTAAGGGACATTTGGCAAAGTTGAGAGACGTTTTTGGTTGTCACACTGCAGGGGAAGCTATTGGCATCTAAAGGGCAGAGGCCAGTGATGTTGCTAAACATCCCACAAAGCCCAGGACAGCCCCTGGCTCCACCCCCACACACAACCAAAGAATTATCTGGACTGAAATGCTGAAAAAAACCTTGATTTATGGGAATATAGAGGAAATCAGATATTCAAATCCCAAGTACCAGAACTTTAACTATAGTTACTGTTTTGATGTTACCATGTGCCAACCACGAAGTGCTATACTGGTACTAATTCACCTCATTTCCCACAACAATCCCATTTTCTGGTCCCTGTTTTTATGATGAAATCAAGGGTGGGGGAATTTAGAAGACTTGCTCAGGATTCCCCTGCTCAGAGTTGGTTCGAAGCCAGGCAGCCCGCCTTCAGAAACCTCATGTTGAACCCTTACCCCATGCTGCCTTCCAGATACAAACCAGTAAATGAGCTGATGGTCATGTCCCATAACAATGTACAAACGCAGATATTTGAAGGAAAACTCCCTCCATGACCATATTATCTTCTTCCCTTTGGAGCTGGTCATCATGTAGTCCGTGTGCATGTCTGGGCTTTTTGGTTTTGGTCAGTGATGTGAGAATAGAGACTGTGCATAACCAAACAGGGAATGTGTTGAATAGTCTCTTTACTGGATAAGTGAAAGACTGATGGATGGGTAGAAACTGGCCAGCCCACCTCTAAACAGCATGGCTTCCTCTAATGGCCCTTTAAAATGAACTTGGCTACTTGATTACATGGCCTGAGCTACTTGGACACCCATGTTTGCAAACCTTCTTGATTGAGAACCCAACCAAGACTTCAAGTGTTCATAGGGCCACCCCCCTCACCGCCCCGCCACCAGGATGTGATTTTCCATATTTGCCCTTTGACTAGGTAAGTTCAGGCCAACCAGTCAGTGCCAGATGCCTGCCCTAGTCATTCCCAGGCACCAAAAGATGTGGAAAAACACAATGGCTGAACCAGAAGGGGTTGGGCTGAAATATTTATGTGTATATGTTGTGGGGGAGGGTTGTGGGAAGGTGGAAAGAGGGCAGTCTGGAAGGGAGAAAGCTGCAGAAAAAAACAGCAGGAATGAAGCATTATGGTTTGCTTGCTATCTAAGGAACTAAAAGATCTGGGCTTTCTTTAAAAGCCAAGGACAGCTTGGTATCTGAGGAGCGCTGGGCCCGGGGTGGCTTATATCTCAACTAAGGCAGAATGTCAGCTCCAGCATAAGATAGAAGACCCACTAGAAAAGTTATCTTGTCTGACTTGCTCACCATTCTATCCCCTGCACCTATAACTGTATTGAATGCATGAATAAGGTTGAAACTAGGGTGATCTGAGGAAAGGTGCTGATGTCCTCTCTGTTTAAGGGACCTTGAGTCTCAGGACGAGAGCCAGCTTGCATAAGGATTAAGGTGATGAGACAGTTGGATTCAAAGTTTCAACACTTCTTGTAAATGCCTGACTCTTAACCTTGACCTGGTGACCTCTTGATTTTATATGACCCTGCTGGTCACTATATGGTCTACGGGTAAAAGAACCAGGGGGGCAGGCATTTCTGTGGTCATAGCCCTGCCCCTGCTCTGGCCTTCCTGCCAGGTTGTGGTAGGACATCGAAAGTGACAGTGGGAGCGGAAGGCTGGGTATGAGGGTATGGATTCTCTCTCTTTCCTCCCTGCACACCACTCCTGCTCTACCCTGCTTTCCTCTTCCCTTTTCTAGAGATACCTAAAGGTAAACTGATTGGAAGTTCACCTCTAAATACCAGCCTGTATTTGATGTTTACCTAATATGCGTATGTCCATAAATAGCAAAACTGAGCTGGCTGTAAAGATCATTCAGAATACTAAATAAAAATTTTTTTTTTAGATCAGTATATGGAAACTCAAAGAGGGAAAAGGACCTAGGGCTCGGTGGAACTCATGTCATTGGACTTCTGATAGTTGCTGCTTCTACTGCTGTGATTTAAGGGACTGTCACGGGAAGGAGAAGGGTGGCAGCAGCGAGCTACAGAATTTGTCACGAGATTGACCCTTGCAGGTCTTGTCCTAGTGCTAAATGTTCTAGTACATCATGCAAGAGGAGCGCTTGGACTTGGCCAAACCTACATTACAAAATGTGTAAGTGAGAAATTCTGTTCCCCAGAAATAGAGGCAGATTCTAGACTCTAAGCCTGGTGCCCTATTTACTGTCTCTACTCAGCCTTATGCAAAATATGGTTGTTACTCCCACCACTGCCCTCACGTAGGGAAATCCTTTTACAAAGATTTGTTATTCGAGTGAGATAGGGCTACGTCTGGTTTTGCATATTTTGATTAAAACTCTGTTGTTTCATGCAGTTGAAAAGGTTAAAAATACATTATAAATTTATAAAATACATTTTCTCTAAAAATTCCTTTTATTGATAGTCTTGGATCACCCCTACCTTTGTAGCCCTAGAATTGGTAGAAGAATCAGCTCCGTACATTTTAAAGACTTCCTCAATCGGGATACTGTTCTGTTAAAACAAACAAACAAACAACAACAACAAAAAAACAATAGCACCAACAAATGCATTATCATATCATGGTTTTTTTTTTACATTACAAAACGAAGTAATTATACCTCTGGTATGTCTAGTATCATGCCTGGATAGCATGGGCATTAATAAATAACTTGTGAACAAATGGATAAATCAGAGTCTCTAGTATCTAATTATGTATGTCTTTCATTCTGGTTTTTTTGCCTTTTATTTTATTTTCTTTTTATTTTTTAAAGATTTTATTTATTTATTTGACAGAGAGAGACACAGCGAGAGAGGGAACACAGCAGAGGGAGTTGGAGAGGGAGAAGCAGGCTTCCCGCCTAGCAGAGAGCCCGATGCGGGGTTTGATCCCAGGACCCTGGGATCATGACCTGAGCCGAAGGCAGACGCTTAATGACTGAGCCACCCAGGCACCCATTTTTTGCCTTTTAAGTAAATGTTTTCACAATACCATATAGAAGTCAAAGACTTTTTATTATATCTTAAAAACTGAAACATTTAATATTAGTAAATCCTAAGCATTTTGAAAGATCAGTTGAAAAATAAAATAAATATGCATTAATATAAAAATGCACATAATAAATATAAAATCTCCATATATTCAAATAGTGTTCTTTTCCTTACCATTAGGATTCCAGCATAAGATGATAAAATCATTGCTTCTCTTTCTTTCCGGTTTGGATATACAGGTCTGTCATGAAATGGCATTTTCCTAAGGGGGAATATTAATAGATAACAGCGGAAGGTTTACTTTTGTTCTTTTCGACACCTGGTAAGCTTATGACAATAATAATAATCCATCATTAATCTCCAATGGGCCATGTGTTATGTACTTGTTTACAAACCTGAGGTGTTTAGTCTGACATCGGTAAAGTACATACTTTGAATTCTGAATCTTCCAACAATGGGGATGAATTTGCCTTCATCTATCCATCTTTTCACAGCTCTGGAACACTGACCACTATGGTGGACAGTCATGGTTTTGACAACTTGTATCCTCCTCCCCTTCTTGTGGCAGAGCTCTCCCTTCCTGCTGGGGGGAGCTGCTTTACACACTGTAAGCTCATCTGCTCCTAAGGGAAGCCAAGAACACCCCTAGATTCCAAGGGTGGAAAACACACAGTGGACTAAGTAGTCAGAGTCCTCCATTCCCTCCACGCTCCACCTCTGGACAAGTTAAGGGCCCAGGCACAATGAAGACACAATTCTGCAATTTTTTTTCTTAGTCTATTCTCCTATGGACTGAATATTGTGATAAAATGGGCTAAAATTAAGAATAATATCCATCATTGTGTGGCTCAGTTGGTTAAGCATCTGACTCCTGATTTTAGCTCAGGTCAGGATCTCAGGGTCCTGAGATAAAGTCCCGAGACTGAGCCCTGTATCAGGCTCTGTGCTGAGTGTGGAGCTTGGGATTCTCTCTCTCGCTCCCCCTCTGCCCCTCTCATCCCACTCATGCATGCTCTTTCTCAAAAAAAAAAAAAAAAAAAAAAAAAAAAAAAAAAAAAAAAAAAAAAAAAATCCACACAGAGGAAATAGTCCAGAAATAAATCCTGATGACATTATTTGACTTTTGAATCAAGCCATGCCTAACGTAGACCTACCCCTGGACTTTGCAAATAAAGTTAATAAATCCCTACTCCCCTCCAATTTGGGGGTGTATTTAAGTCTGTTCAAGCTGGATTTTCTGCTTATTACAACTAAACCTTAATTGATACCACTATCCAGGACAAAGTATGTGTTCTAAGGAGATGGAACAGAAGAAGGAACTGGCCTCTGAGATGAAGCTATTAAATCCTGGCCTCATTACCAACTGAGTGAGTCTGCCCAGCAGATAATCCCGGAAAGGATTCGAACAGTTGTAGGTCAAATAGCTCAGCTCAGGGATATTTCTAGTTAAATGTTTAAGAAATTGTGTTTGATAGTCCTTTGAAAACGACTGCAGCCTTTGACCATTTTAAAAAATCATGGCACACGCACAATAAAGCACTTACATATTTAAGATACAACATTACATGTGAGAAAGATCATTGGACAGAAACCAATCGGCAGAGACGCAAACTCTGTAAACACGTCTATGTTGACAGCTGTGAGGTTTCTTCAGGTGCCTCACTGGCGAGGGATACTCACCCTGCAGTGTTTTCAAATCAGAGTGCCTCTGGTGCATGATGCCAGACAGAAGCTTTCTCTATTGCTACTCATAGTCATACATTAGGAAAAAGAAGAAGAAGAAAAAAAAACCCATTTCAACTCACACTTTTCCCCACTCGAGCCAAGTTAAGTCTTCTGAGTGATCCAGCCATTGCAAAGCGACATTGATGGCCAAATCATAGTGTGCCTGGAAGCAGGAAGCAGAGACAGAAGGGGAGGGGCTTAGACGTTGGCTGGAGCACCCCCTGGACCCAATGACAATGGCATTGCTAAGCCTAGTCTACTCTTTTGTCATGTCCACAGTGTGAGGATCATCCACTATGTCCAGTAACCCAACACTCAGACAGATTATTGAGAGATCTTCAGTCATTACGTTTTCCTCTCACTAGGGCCATTTTAAAATTTTTGGTTCATGGTGACAGGAAAAGAAAGGATGGATTCTTGGAAAGAAACTAGGAATCAGGGCAGTACGTGGGTGGCTCAGTAGGTTAAGCGTCTGCCCTTGGGTCAGGTCATGATCCCAGGGTCCTGGGATGGAGCCCCATGTCTTTCTCCCTGCTCAGTGGGGAGTCTAGTTCTCCTTCTCACGTTGTCCCCTCCCCCCGTTCATTCTCTCCCTCTCTCTCAAATAAATAAAATCTTAAAAAAAAAAAAACCCTAGGTGTCAGGGAATCTAGATTCAAATCTAGATATTGCCAACAACTCACAGTATAACCTTGGATAAGAAACTGACGTTCTCAGGGCCTCAAAAATGAAGGTGAGGGAAGAGGGCCACAGAGAATGATTTTCAATTCTGTGAGCAGAATGTCAGGAATGTGCTTCCAGGAGCACAGGGGAGTCAGGGGGAGATTAGGAGGGGAGCTCCTCGTGGAGCTGGGGCTTGGAGGACAGGACGAGGAGAATTTCTATAGATGGAGAAGGACGTCCTGGGTGGAGAGGCCAGCGTGAGTAAAGGACTGGAGGTAGACCCAAATGAGTAGCTTGCCAAGAGTTTTGTATACAGTAAAAGCTGAGGACCAATTCGAATGTTCATTCCTATCCTACTGACCATCTTTCTGGTAAGTTCTAAGCATATTTACCTTGTCCTTGTCAAAATCCCTTCTCTCCTCTCTATCCCCACCTCCAGAAAAGGGAAGGTTAGTTTTGTCTTGGAGGTTTTAGAAGGGTTCTAAGGTGCTAACATTTTCTGTACAATGTACAGTTGACCCTTGAACACCCAGGGGCTAGAAGCACCGACGCCTGCAACCTAAAATCCTCTTATAACTTTTGACTCTCCCAAAACTTAACTACTAACAGCCTGCTGTTCCCTAGGAGCCTTACCCATAACATAAACTGTCGATTAATACATAATGTATATGTTATATCTATATTATATATTGCATTCTTAAAATAAAGTAAGCTAGAGAAAAGAAACCATTATTAAGAAAATAATAAGAGAAAATACATGTACAGTACTGTACTGTATTTATAAAAAAAAAATTCCACATATAAGTGGACCCATACAGTCCAAATCCATGTTTTCAAGGGTCAACTGTACTTATTTCTTTCAATGACTAAACCAAACTAGAGTGTGAACAACAACAAAAAGAACTGTGGTCAGTGGTTGAAACTTAATCCAAAGGTTGGATCCTGGACCAGCAGCCTTGCCATCACCTGTTTGCTCATCACAAGTGCAAATTCCAGCCCCACCCATACCTCCCAAATCAAATAAGACCTCATTAAAGCTTGAGAAGCACGTATTTAATTGATTTAGTTTCTCCATTTAACATGTGCAGGGTGAAGCACTTGAGAATCCCAAGGCTGAACTCCCAAGGCTGAACTCCAGGGAGGTCAGACAGGGAGAGGGGGAGGGGCAGGGAGCGAGCCCTCCTTCTTAGTGCAAGAGGAGTAAACAGGTAAGCATAAAAAAGCCGAGGATTTCCTAATTTCTTTTGAATTAGATCTTTACATTTCTTCCTTAATGTCTGTGAAGTGAACTTTCATTACCTAACATGAATCTGAGTTTCAACGTGAATAATGATGAGGGATTTTAAGATTATTCAATTCTGTGGTTTTCTCCATGAATACAAATGGTAAAAAACAAAATAAAACATTTATTATAGTAGAGAACTACAGAAGTCATTTTGTCAAAACATTTTTAACATTATGTATCTAACATTTAACCTTGCACTCTAAGAAAGAGCAAATAGCAGAAGTCTCATGACTTTTATTTTCTCATTCCTTTTGTTTTCAGTGTAATGAGTTGAGAAGACTATGTGGAGGGCCCTAGGATGAGAAGATGAAGAAGAGACATTCTGGGAGGATCGAGATTAGCCTTGTTCATGATCTACATCAGATCCTTGTTCCGTCCCCTGAACACAAAGAACACAAATGTGACTTGCATTGGCATGCCTTTCTTTACCATATCATCTAGAAAGGTGAGTTGCCTTCTTCCTTTTGGGTCAAATTCATTTTCCCGAAGTCTGATGCCAATATAATCTCCCCTTAAAAGCAAGAGAGCAGCATTGAACCATTGGGAATGAGAGGGGATCTCCATTTGCAGAAGAGTCTTCTTCCCAGTCCCTCCCTCCTCCACCAAAATACAAAGTCACTGGTGGTTCTGGTAGCTTAACTGATACTCATTTTTATTTAAATAGCAATCCTGCAATGGTATAGGTTTAAAACATTTAACCACTATGAACTTCAATCATGTTTATCTAAAAATAAATACTCACGTGATCGGTACAGAATTGGTAGGAAAGCAGAGGGGGCATGACACGTCCCACACTCAGAAAAGATTTTACAAAAAAACAAAAGGATTGAGACCCACTGTTTAAAACAAAGATTCCTTTGCTGCCCATGTTAAACTCAGGGAGAATGACCAAAGTTGAAAAATTCCAGCTATATGATGTTCTGTACGGATGTATTTTCTTACCCTAAGGCCTTTTCCCCTGATTAGAATGCAAATACCCTGAGGAGGAGTTATGCATAAAACCATACCAGGAAGTCCACTTTAGTGTGTCCTGTGGAATCCTTTCCTAGCGGCCCTGGCAGGAGAATAGACAGGGGGCTACCCCAGGGGGAAGTCAAGAAGAGGAAGAGGGATCCGATGAAGAAAAAAGGATTCTGGGTCCCCAGGGTCCATCTGCACAGATCAACCCTTGGACAAAAGGCCAGTTCTGTTTTCAAGGTCTTTACCATGCACTTTGGGCAAGCCATTGCCAGGGTGGAGGGGCTGGGGGCTCGGGGAGTCAGTTTGTATCTGTTTCCCAAAAGCTCTTCTGAGTCATTAAACTAAAATCAATAAAAATTCTCAGGTTTTGCTTTCTAATCCCAAGATACTCTATTTAAAGTAGCTTAAATGTATTCTTTGGATATAAAATAATTCGAACTCTATGTGGAGGAATTGACATTTTCTGATAACATTTTTTAAAACTATTATATCAGCCTCCAAACACATACATGTAAATATGTGTAAAGTCACACATGTTTTATTCCAGCATTTCTTAAGGACTTAGTAAAAAATAATTATCATAGTAGGCAGAGAAAGTACATTTGATGGGAACTGTGAGAAGGTCTTTGATAAAAAGGACATTATTGTTGTGCAGGTAATGTATAAGAAATAGTCTTTCCCCTGCTTTTTATGTGCTCTGTGATTTTCACCAACCTCTTAAAAAAGTACCAAGTCACAGAAAGCTACCACAGGGGCGCCTGGGTGGCTCAGTGGGTTAAGGCCTCTGCCTTCGGCTCAGGTCATGATCTCAGGGTCCTGGGATGGAGCCCCACATTGGGCTCTCTGCTCAGCGGGGAGCCTGCTTCCTCCTCTCTCCCTGCCTGCCTCTCTGCTTACTTGTAATCTCTGTCTATTAAATAAATAAATAAAATCTTAAAAAAGAAAAGAAAAGAAAAGAAAACTCCCACAGGAGAAAAAATTTTTTTCCAGGGGAAAACTTGACATCTCTTTTGTTTTGTATTTTTTATTTTTTTTTAAATTTCAGATGTCAAGAAAAAGGAGACGAATTATGTAGTCGGTAAGACTGACAATAATAGAGGGAGAGGCTGCAGTTGAAATGCTGGGCTCCTGGGTACGTTTTGCAGAAATCTCTGCTGTATCTTTTTACCAGCAGGGCCCTTTTAAAGGCATATCCTGACCGGTACAGGCAGCCTGGGCTGGGGGCTCAGCGGTTTGGCTCTAGAATGGGAATGCCTCCGATATGCATGATGCTGGCAGAAACATCCTCCCAAGAGAGTCAGCATCCTCTTTGCTCCACATGTGAGGCCTCTCAGGCAGGAGGCAGAGGCTACATCCTCTGGCTTTCTCCTACAGCACAGGAATAGATTCTTCCTCAGATTTTTACCCACCCCCATCTCTGGCCAATATCCAGACCATCTATGACTTGAAACCCACCAAAGGCCAAGTGTAATAAACAAAAGTTTATTCTCAGTCATACTTACAGGAGCTTTTTAATTTCCTTCTTTAGGAGCTTTCTCTCCATGATTAAAGTCTTGTCCAGCTGAGCAGGTTTCTGTAGCTTACACTGCACCTGATATCCTCAGGGAAGACCCAGCCTCTCTGAGCCTATAAGCTACAGCAGCAAATCAGAGAGAATTTGAGTTAGGGATGCTATCACTCCAAATACCAGTCATGGAGTCCTAGGCTCTGGAAGGGATCTGGGAGCATGCAGAGCTCAGACCTCTTATCCAGCAGGTGAGACCAGGTGAGAATTAAACCAGCTGGGGGAGGGGTGGGAAGGTAGTGCACTGTACCTTGAGTTTGTCTGACACCCCTTATTCTTTCCAAGTTTCCCAACTTGCAATCAACTAGCAAGTCAAAGAGTCATGGCTCATGTAAGCGAGACTATTAGGACAGAAGCATCCAAATATGCTGTGATCTGAGTATGTGAGTTCTGTGTGCATTCAACAGTGACTCCCAGTGAATCTACCTTGGCACAAGGGTTCATAATGGAATTTTCTGTAGAACCCATGTACAACTTCCTGGGGCCAGAAGGTTCTGGAAAGAACATTCACCATGGAAAATACGAAGCCATGTCTTCAATTCTTACCCCCACATTGAACCAGAAATTGGAATTTAGATAATGGGGTCAAAAGGGGTTTGAAGTCACAAAAAGTAGTTTATGAAAAAAAAAGATAATCGCTTTTCAAAAGGGTGCCCAGTAAGGGTATAAGTAGGTTATCAACTATGTCTGCAATGTTTTCTTCCTGAAACAAGATCAAAAGCAAATTGTGATGGTTGATTTTATGTCAACTTGGCTAGACCACTGTGCCCAAAGATTTGGTCAAAAATTATGCCAGGTGTTTCTGTGAAGGTGTTTTTTGGATGAGATTGACATTTAAATCAGTGAACTTTGAGTAGGGCATATCACCCCTTTTATGTGGGTGGGCTTCATCCAATCACTTGAAGGCTTGAATAGAAGAAAGATTGACTTTTCCCAAGCAAGAAGGAATTCTGCCAGGCGAACCTCATCCTGAGTCTCCAGCCTGCCAGCTTATCCCTTCCAGTTTTTGAACAGGCCAAGGCACTGCAATCTTGTGAGCCAATTCCTTAAACTAAATCTCTCTCTGAGCATGTATACACATATATACATATATTTGCTGTTTCTCTGAAGAGCCCTTATACACAAATATAAAACAATTAAAATTTGTTGACTCTGGGAACATAAATCCACAAATGTTCATTATATTACCTCCTGTACTTTTGAAATTGTGCATGTGTTTTTAAATCACTACTGTAAATATGGTTGGGATAAATAAAACTTCAGAAACTTTTGAAAAAAAATTGCAGTCTATAAACACTAAGTTTTACGTGATTCAACTCACCAACAATAAGCAGAGAGAAAACAGGGTGTCATTAATTTAAGTGAATTCTTCACCAGACTCATTATATTATTTTGGACCATTCGTGCTGCTGCTACATCTGTTTCAGTCTTGGATGGGATGTGGAAAAGATGAAGATGGGGGGTGCAAAGTAAGGGCATTCCATGGGAAATGCATGAACTACAAAGCTAGTAATATAGCTCTCTATGGGAGAGTCCATTGGGAGAGAATACTACAAGCCACAGAGGGGACCTCATAACCTCGAAGAAAAAGCACTGGACTGGGGAGGCCAGATGCTGAGATGTGGTGTCCACTCCACCACCGACTGACTGGTGTGGCTGTGGCCACGTCTCTTGGCTCTTCTGCATCCCAGTTTCGGGTGTTGTCTAAAAAATGATGAGCGTGGCTCATGTCGTCAAGAACACCCTAGCACTTGAAACTTCCTAAAGGCTAGCACTGTGATTCTTCTACTTTACTAAGTTAGAAAAGCAGTTGTTGGTAGAACATTTGTCTTCTCTCAATTCCTTAATAAGGGGGTGGTTTGGCTCCCTTAACTTTGATGCCTTTTTAAAAAGCATGCTTGCTTTAACCCATGCTTGTTCGTGATTCCGAGGCAACCCTTTGATTTTCAGACTTGCAAAGAATAAAATATGCATCTCTTGGCCACCGTGACAGCTTCCTCTTAGACCACCCTCCCTGACCACCATTCAATGTAGCATAATATAACAAAGGTGGAAATCTTAAAAATATGATCATGTCCTACCCTCAGGAGGCCCAAAGACCCAGTAAGCCTATTCACCAGCTGTGTCACCTTGGATAAGTGAATTTGTCTCTCTGTGGTTTTGTGTTTTCTCTTCTGTAAAACAGTCATTGCATGATTGGAGAGGTCCCTTCTCGCAGTAGAGTTCAGTGACTTACATGCACTGAGGAGCTCTGCCTGGTTGAAAGGGGGCCATTTGCACAGACGATTTAGTTTAAATGTGAATTCAGCCAGTCCCTCTTCTTTTCTGTCTCTAGAGCTTTAACAAAAAAAACAAGACTCTGGCTGGAAATACACACAAAAGAGCTAATGGAAAGATGTCAGCTATCTCAGGCATTAGCAGTTTCATAGAAACCAATCCTCCAGAAGTCACAGCCTTGCTCTATAAGCATATCATGCCCTGAATTACCTGCACACCCCACGCAGATCCCCTCTCTGCACCCCTACCTCTATGATACAGGACTCTCAGATGGTGTTCTATTAGGTGCCCAGCTCTTAACAAATTCCCCTTTCAGAATCTCTCACCAACCGGAGATCGATTCCGGAGCTTTTCTTCTCTCCCTGCTTCTGGAGGCGTGCTGGAGCACCTAACGTCATGGGCCTGGGCTGGTGCTCGCCAGACATCAGGAAAGCACAGGCTTCTTCTTCTTCTTCTTCTTTTTTTTTTTTTTGGTTGCTAGGAAACAGTGACTGAATGAAAATAATTTGTTTTTACCCAGCCCTCTCTCCCCTGCCGTCCTGCAGGGGAAAGAATGTCATATATTTAGGGCAGGATTGTGATCCTGACCTGGAGTTCACGTATCTTTTTACCTGAGTAGGCTTTGGTTTCCCACCTAAATGATTAATCAGAAAGCTGAGAGGATGCGAGAAGTCCCCCTCCCCCAGGGTTTTTATTTAATTAAATTAATTAATTAATTAATTAATTTTTAAAAGATTTTTTATTTATTTATTTGACAGAGAGAGATCACAAGTAGACAGAGAGGCAGGCAGAGAGAGAGAGAGAGAGAGGGAAGCAGGCTCCCTGCTGAGCAGAGAGCCCGATGCGGGACTCGATCCCAGGACCCTGAGATCATGACCTGAGCCGAAGGCAGCGGCTTAACCCACTGAGCCACCCAGGCGCCCAGGTTTTTTTTTTTAATAGCACTTGGAGTCAACTGACAGAACAGGGATTGCTGGGGAAGCCAGGGTACCTGTGGCTCCTTGCACACTTAGGATGCCCGGAAGCACTCCGGATGATTCTACCTGCTGACACAGAGCATGCACGTCCTGAAGAACCATTACTTTGGTGCACGGCATCACCATTTCCCCCCTGCTAAGTGGTCTCCCTGCTCACACACTTGCCTCCTCATCCTAAATCTTTCTCCCCTGCTTAAATCTTGCTCATGGTTTCCCACCGCTCTTAGAAGACAGAAACTCGCCGTGACCTGTCTGTGCGTGAACTCCACGCCCCTGGACAGAGCAGAGTTTATTCCGGTTCATGGACGTCTGGGCCTCCGCATCACTTCCACTCCTTTCCTGACCACTCCACTCCACTCCACTCCTGACCAAGGCTTTTGGTCTCTCAGGTGTTCCAGGGGTGACAGTAAAAACTCCAGATTTGGGTTTTTATAGACTAGTTGTTCCCTCCACATTGAAATGATATTATATCCAGATGTTTCCAGGTTTTGCGAGACTAACGTTTATGCCATTTGAATTTTATGCAAAAAGATGCAGAATTGTGAATACAGAACTGAATGTTTTTTAGAACCATCAATCACAAAGAGCTGGCAAATACCACACATTAAAAACACAGGGGAAAAATCACGGTATTATCTTTATTATTAACTGAAATAGCCTAAAATTCTTTTTCTTACATACTTTTTGATGACTTCTTAATATGACCAAGATTTTTTAATATTATTTTCTATTGAGAGATTAGAAAGATAATTCAGTCTTTACTTGAGTGTGGTTCTTTACAATTATTTTTAAATATGAATAAAATGTTAAAATAAATGGAAGTTGTTTTTCAGTTTAGTGGCTCCCTATTAGTGATGCTGGCTCTCTGATGTTTGCCACAATTTCCTGGGCCCCTGAGATGCTCTTGCCCAAGGGACAACCCTGGAGAACTTTAGCCTTGACCTTCCCAGGCCTGTTCACCCCTGCATCCCTTCCTCATCTCCCTCCCATCCCAGCTGAAGCTGCTGCAGCTGGTCTGACTCAGCCAAGACTTATTAACTCCAGTGCTCTCCTCCCCAGCTTCAGTCCTTGGAGACCCAGGGAGAGTCAGGAACTCAATGGACCAGCAGGGGCTGCTGGTTGCCAAGACCCAACATTGGTGAAGGAAATGTTAACAGTGTGCCTACCCTGCCCAAAAGCCACGGCAGCCACCAGGATGTGGAGTGTGACCCCCAGGCTGTGACCATGCTGCCTCTTCCTGCTTCCCCCACAAAGAACTCGTCCAGCCTTTGAAGATGCCAAGAAAGTGAGGAGCCCTTTACCTCAGCTGCTTTAGCCTTGGGAGAAAACCCACCTCTTCTTATACTGATGGTCAAGACATTAAATAGACACAAAACAACACAACAGCCAAAAGTACTTTTATGCCACAGCGAGAAATTCTCAGTTCTCACAGCATATCCTGGAGGCAGATGTGAACATAACATCCATGTTTTATACATAAGGAAACCAAAGGATGAAAAGGGGAGTAATTTGAGGGAAAAAATCCACTTTATCAAGTCTGACTCCTCCGTCAATGCATCTTTGCCAGATATTTTTGTTTGTCTGTTTGTTTGTTTGTTTGTTTTTAAGTAGACTCCATGCTTCACATGGAGCCCATCATGGGACCTGAACCCACAACCCTGAGATAGAGACCCAAGCTGAGATCAAGAGTCAGATGCTCAATTGACTGAGCCACCCAGGTGCCCCTTCCCCAGACTTGTTGATGTATTCTTTAAACTTCCTAAGATTCTTATAATATTCAGGATATTTCCATATAATATACTGGCTTGACATTGTGGAACATTTCCACGGAATGTAGATATGAATTTTTCATCTTCATCAAATCTTGCATTTACACTGAAAAGTAACATTACTACATAGTAGTAGCATTACTAGTCTACTACTAGTAAGACAATGGAGTGACAACTATGTGATTTTGGTTAAGTTACTCAATTTCTGTACTTTATTTCCCTTTTCTGTAAAGTGCAATGAAAATCTACGTCATAGGTTTCCAAACATTAGAAATGTCATGTATCTATTTGTCATGGAACACCATAGGTCCTTTACAGAATGGTTGTTACTACTAGTACAGTTTTTGCATCTTATTCAATTGTATATATTCATCTTTTGTTCTTTGAAAGTATTCTCTTAGTGGGTTTATATTGAATCTCATTATTTAGATGGTAAGCTTCTAAAGTGCAAACATTATGCTTTCTATTCTTGTGTTCCCCAAATGAGATGCATAGAAATGCTTTGCACCTATTATGCATTTACTAAATATTATCTGACATGGGGAAATTTTTGTTGTCCTGAATATAATGTGAACTCTGAACACATTTAGCAGATAAAATCTCTGCTCTCTCATTTGTAGCTATGTTCTTGCCCTTATTGGTTGAACAAGGGGGTGAGGGCATTGTCAGCGGGGGTTTACAAGATGGCGGTGTTTTTAGTATTTGCACTTGGCAGGGGGAGAGGAGAAACCATCATGTGCGTATAAATAATGTACAGTAAGCCAGCATATGTGAGCACAGAGTTTTCACATAAAAAAAGAGAGATTTAATAATCTTCCCTGTGAACATAAGAGACTGACTTGACTCGCCTTAGGATTTAGACATGTCTGAGCATATCTAGGCAAGTCAGGGGGATCACAGGTTACAGAATTGTACCAAGATTCCGTTTGCATCAGTGGTTCTCAACATCGGCTGTACCTTAGACTCACCGAGGAGCTTTTAAAACTCCCCAGATCAATTAACTCAGAATCTCTAGGGATAAGACTCAGGCAACCGTATTCTTCAAATTTCTCCAGGGGTTCCAACATGCAGATGAGACTGAGAATTACTGACATGTGCAAGACAGAAGAATAGCCTAGGGTTTGTTCCATTATTGCTGTTATAATAACCTTTAGTTTGAGGAAAAGTTATCTTCACTTCCCCAAAAAGACATGAGGAAGAGATGGACCACTTTCCCCCCTTGGTCAGGGTCACGCTAGATACGATGCCCAACACTATTACAATCCACTTATTACCAGTCTGAAGATGAAGCTAGTAATGGATGAAGGCAGAGCCAAAGAACTTCTGGCTATGGGTTTTTATGTCTTGAAGTTCTTATTTTTAAAATAATTCTTATTTTTAAAACCAGTTGTGGTTAGAGATTAAGAGTAATTTTAGCAAAAGACATCCTAAGGGATATACTTTCCTAAATCTAGCCCCAAATTCATGCCAGAATCCTTAACAGAAAGGACTACATTAGAAGAGTGAATGAAAATGAAAAGCATCATTTTCTTTTGTGATCACCATGGGACATTGGGAGCACAAGTTGGCAGCAGCAATGCTACCACAGCTTCTGCCAGGATGGAAGTAATATCAGCATGAGAGCGAAACTGGAGGCAGCCTTAATTTCAGACATCAGCACTTGGCCATTAGGCATCAGTAGCTTTGATGCAGATATTTGTAGGGATGGAATCCTTTTCTTCTATTCTCTTAGGTTATGTACCTGAGGCCTGTGATTTAAACTGACAAAAGGCAGATTAATACGGGAAAAGGCATAGCAATTTTAATTGATGTTAATATTTTTGTGTGCATGGAGGCTTCACAGGAAAGTGAAAACCCAAAATGATTACTCAGGGGCTTATATACAATTTCAACAAAGGGTAATAAATTGCGGAGAAGTAACCGGACAAAGGGAAGCATGTTTGGGCTTCCAGGGATAATAAATTATAGGAAAGCGAGTAGGAAACATATGGGGGAAAATAATGGTGGATAATGGTTATTTAGTCAAGTTTGTTTGTGCAGACACATCTTGGTGTTATCTCCGTCTTGGGTAATAACAGTTGTTCTCTTCTTCCTGGTATGGGAGAGAAGGGCACCTTCAGATGGGAAATTTATGCCCTATCTTTAGGCAGATGGAGGGCAGCGAATTCTTCTTGTGTCTGATTTATCTCAATGGCCTTTACATCAAAATAACCCTTATGCCGAAGTTGTATATTTTGGGGTGCCGTATTCC